CTTCAAGAGAATCAGGGACAGAGGTGAGTGCAGTGGTGACCAATATGGAGGTGCTGGGGAAGTCTGGAGGTCTGAAGGTAAATAGATGGACTACACCCCAGAGTTTTGAAGGATGTAGCTGAGGAGATAGTGGAGGCATTAGTAATGATCTTCCAGGAATCACTGGAGTCAGGGAGGATCCCACAGGACTGGAAACTGGCGAACGTATTGAAAAAGGGACAGAGTCAGAAGATGGGAAGCTACAGGCCAGTCAGCCTGACCTCAGTCATTGGTAACATTAAGAATCCATCATTAAGAGGTGGTCATACCTGTGGTGGCGAATCTGTGGAACTTATTACTGCAGAAAGCTGAGGATGCTAAGTCATTGAGTGTCTTTAACAGAGAGATAGGTGGGTTCTTACTAAGTAAGGGGATCAAGGGTTACAGGCAGAAGGCAGGAGAATGGAGTTGTGGAAATTAGAAGTGTATTGCCTGGCACAAAACAAGTTTAGGCATGATTTGATAGAGATTGTAAAAAGAATCAAGTGGGGGTTTGGGGGAAGAAAGGGAGACAGGGAGGGAAAGAGAGAAAGAAAGATGGGGGAAGGCGAGAAAAAGAACAGGGTGAGGGAGGCGAGAGACAAAAAAAAAAGAAACTTGAACTGGCAGGAAAAAAGTCTAGGACAAGGAGTCATCACCTCAAAGGCAAAATAAAAAGGAGGGCTGACAGCCATAAGGGGAATGGATAAAGAAAGAACTGGCAGTGAGAGGCAGCTGAAGCTATAACCACCACTGGTGAAGCATAACAAAAACATTCAGGGATTCACATTTTTGCTTACAGCAGTCAATTTTTCCACAATATTAACAATAGCTTGTCAGCTTGTTGGTTGTTCAGCAGTCAGACAGATGTAGCCACCATTATCAGGTTTAAGAATCTCCAAAACAGTTAGAACAAAAATCTGTGCAAGTAAGGTTGTAGTTTGCCCAACATAGCATGCGCACACATTATCAGTAGAGGCATAACCTGTTCACTGGAACTCGAAGAATCCAAACAAGAGGACAAACCCTCAAAAGGAGAAACTGTTGCAGTTGAAACTGCTCAAATGTCATTTGCTCATCAGTGCTGAGGCTCTGGTTAACTTCTTTCAGGACCACATGCCCCTCGATCATTGGTGTGCAGACCTGAAGTAGTGCTAGTGCAGCAGATATTGGTGTGTTCGGACCGAATCCCCCAAATCAGTACTTATGGGGTCAATTCCTTGCATTATAACTTGTAGGTGACAAATTTAGTCAAGTGTGCAGTCCTGGTCTCCTTATCCAAGGAGAAGATAGACAGGGAAAAGAATCAAACTGTGCAAAAAGAGAGTTACACAATGGTATTATCCTTATCTCTGGGCCAGAAGCTCTGGGCTTGAATCCCACACAAGAACTTGCTGGCATTAGGTGGTGTGTTTTAATGTGGCCAAACAGATTGCTAGTCAGCCTGCAGACTCTTCCAATATCCTGTCTTTACCACCTGCCATCAGGCAGAGTTTCCTGCTCAGTCATTCTGCAGATGATGTTGAAGCACTGGCCCAATCCTCAGAAATGAGGACAAGCAGATAGTGCAGAAACAGTGGGAAAGAGCAGCTCAGCTAAATAGTTTTACCCTCTTATAAATTCACTAACCTTTAATAAATTGTGTTCTCTTCCTCAGCTGCAACATCTGACCTGCTCTTATAATCCGTATGCTTCTACCACACCATCTCCAACAGTCATGAACCAAAGTGCAACTCATCAAGTTACTGCTCATGCCAGTCCAAGTGCGAGCAGCAGTTGGACAAAACCAAGGGCAAACACTGTTTTAGAAAAATACAATCCCCATGAGTCCTGACCCATGTCTCTCCAAGACGATCACGGAAGTAATTTTAAGTGAAGTCACCACAAGTTCCTTGCTGGTGAACTTGAATGTTCCAGTAGATTTTGGTGATGAATATGAAATTTGGTACAGCACTGGTCCAAAGATGCAAAGCCTTTCGATGCTTGGTGGAGTCAGAGAAATAGAGCTGAGTGAGCTCAGTGCTGTAGCAGTTTACCAACTCTGTTGTGCCCCTGAGTAGCTTCAACAATAAATGCACTCAACCCACTGTCAACCAATGCATAGTGGTACGGATCTTGGGGGTGCCAGGTGGCACAGAGACCATTCAGTCTGCAGACAAGATTCATTACATAATAGGATCAGGGATCAGCACTACATTGATACTGTTAATTATCATTGCTTTAATTGTTGCCTTCAAACTTAAGTCAAGAAATATTGGCTTCCATAGACACTATGAGGAGGATGTATGTATGTATGTATGTTGAACATTTTGAAAATGAGCAAAGAAAGAAAGAGCAAAGAAAAATGTCTCCCGCATTTCCCGCAACTCATCCCTCACACCCCCTCTCCGCAATAACAACCAAAACAGAATCCCCCTTGTCCTCACGTACCACCCCATCAACCTCCGGATCCAATGCATCATCCTCCAACACTTCCGCCATCTGCAATCCGACCCCACCACCAAAGACATTTTTCCCTCCCTACCCTTATCTGCCTTCCGGAGGGACCACTCTCTCGGTGACTCCCTTATCCACTCCACACACCCGGCACTTTTCCCTGCAACTGCAGGAAGTGCTACACCTGCCCCTACACCTGTCCCCTCACCCCCATCCCAGGCCCCAAGACGACCTACCACGTCAAGCAGATGTTCACCTGCATGCCTGCTAATGTGGTATACTGTATCCGCTGTTCCAGATGTGGCCTCCTCTCCATCAGGGAAACCAAGCGGAGGCTTGGGGACCGTTTTGCGGAACACCTACGCTTGGTTCGCAACAAACAACTGCACCTCCCAGTCGTGAACCATTTCAACTCCCCCTCCCATTCCTTAAACATGTCCATCCTGGGCCTCCTGCAGTGCCACAATGATGCTACCCGAAGGTTACAGGAACAGCACCTCATATTCCGCTTGGAAACCCTGCAGCCCAATGGTATCAATGTGGACTTCACAAGCTTCAAAATCTCCCCTCCCCCAGCCGCATCCCAAAACCAGCCCAGCTTGTCCCCGCCTCCCTAACCTGTCCTTCCTCTCACCTATCCCTTCCTCCCACCTCAAGCCCCACTGTCATCTCCTACCTATTAGCCTCATCCCACCCCCTTGACCTGTCCATCCTCCCTGGACTGACCTATCCCCTCCCTAACTCCCCACCTACACTCACTTTTACTGGCTCCATCCCCACCTCTTCGACCTGTCTGTCTCTTTCCCACCTATCTTCTATCCGCCTCCCCCCCACCCCTATTTATTTCAGAATCCCCTTCCCCTCCCCCATTTCTGAAGAAGGGTCTAAGCCCGAAACATCAGCTTTTCTGCTCAGCCTGCTGTGTTCATCCAGCTCTACACCTTGTTATCAAAGAAAGATGGACTTTGATCAAATTAACAGTGGTTACAAAAACAGCATCGATGGGGATAACGTAATTTCATTCACGTGGTTCAACATGTGAAGTTTGAGATGGACTGTCCACTGGAATGTGGCTAGGGACCACACCTATGTATACTCTAAATAATTTGAACATATGGTTCTCTCATGTTTGAATCTGATTGACAGATTGGTTTTCAATGACCTATCACGTAATCCTTAATCCAGCTTTAGATTTAGAAATTTACTTCTGCATTGACCCCTTTCCGCAGAAAAATCTTTGCTTTTGAAGGGGAAAGATGTAATAACCAATGTTATTCTGATGATACCATATTAGTAACTTGCTGAGGCAAACATGCTCTAATACGTATACTGGACTTAAGGTCCAACAGATATAACGTTTAGAATTTTCTGGCTAATATATATCCAACAATTAACATTCTGACCATCAGCTCACTGCAGTTTGAGAGAATTTTCTGTGTAAATTTGTTACTATGTGTCCAACATGGTAATAATGATTATTCTTTTAAAAAAAGAAAGACAGTATTGACTGAATCGCTTTCAACAGTTGAAGTCATGAAAGATACTCCAGAAATATAGAATTTACTTTTGATCTGGTAGTACTGGTCGGAGTTTAGAGCCAATTTCTTGTCAATGCTATAAGTAATTATATATTAGATTAGGCATCGTAAAATGCTGCGCATTTTGGTCATTATGCAAACCTATTCACAGAAATTAGGCACTTATTAAGAAATAGTCTAGCTAGTCACTCAGTTGCAAGAAACTGCTGCTGCTGCAAAAAGGATAGACGGAGAGACAGAGAGACAGACAGAGAGACGGCTCGCTCTACTAAGACTGTTCAAAACACACTGACTGGCAACCGATTTTAAGCACAATGCTGCCAGACTTGCTGAGTTTTCAAAAGCACTTTGTATTTACTAATCTCAAATATCCACGGTATTTTGTGCTTGCGCACTACGACTGTTTGCTGTCACTCAGCCAATGTCAAATCCATGGTCCCACCAGTCCCTTGTACGCCAGGACTTTAACTTTGCAAATAAACCTGCCTTATGACACTATCAAATGCATTTTGGAAGTCAAAAGTACAATATGTGGACATTGGAAATGTGAATGAACAGGAAATGCTGGAAATACTTAAATTAATAATTTAAAATGTGTGATACTGAGAATTTCAATTTAACTGGAATAGGGATAGCAGAGTTAGGAAGAAGTGAAAGGCTAAAAGAACATGAAATGCACTCAATCACCTAAACCCATAGGACAGAGTAAATTGTTACTGAAAAATTACTACTCGTCCAGTAGTATTAGAATGATTTCACCATCTCTCCTTATCCCTGACAGTTATAAACCCCGGTTCTGAAGTAGTTTATTCCTACACTTTCTCTTGTGGTTCTCCATCTTCTATATAACATGGAGACAATGTTAACCGTCAGGTGAAATATTTATGTAGGACCATTGCAACCAAACATTTTAAACCAGCCTGGTTTTGCAGCAGTTCCTAACCTGAGAAAATGTACATGAAATTCAACAGCTGTATTGGTCTCATCAGAGAAGGAAGACGAAACATGTGGATTAACACAGCATCTTTATCACCAAAATATCTCAAACCAGTTCAGAGAGTTTTCTGAAGCAGTGACATAGTGCAGCCATTCCATTCCAGTTCCCACCCTTTAGACATCAATTAAAACAAATGGTCAGTTGGTATACTTTGGGTGGCATGAACTAAGGATATAATGTTGGCTATATTGTTGAAATAATTCTGTTGTTCTATGAGTAGAACCACAAGACCTAGAACATCCATCTGTTTAGACTAGCAAGCCCTCAGTTCATTACTGCTGTGAATAACTGCAGCTGTGAAAATGCAGCACCTTACTTCAGAGTCATCATATTCTGGGGTATAGGAATAGTATCAGTGCTAGCATGGGAGTTGGCTGCTCACCTTTGAAGGTGCAAACTGTCAGATGCAGGAAGAACAAGGAAAAACAAAATTGAATTGAATATTGCATCTTATTCAAACCTAAATACTATGAATGTAGCTGGCCCCGAGAGCTTCTTTAGTCTAACAGATAGAAGAACAATAAGGCCTGCTCATCATCCATCATTTCAACAGTTCTACTACAGTTCAACATTCTGATCATCCTGATAATGCGTTTTGTCCTACGCGCACACCACACAAATTTAACGTAAAGAGATGAATACATTGCCTCTGTTTCCAAAGGCGCACATGTGCACACTCACATTACTGCTCAGGGCAAACTGAAGAGGTGAGAGATATAATGCAGATATGAGAGTGCTGCTCTCCTAAGGCAACACTCAACTTAAAGCCCCTGACCTTCCTAAACTACTGTGACTCCTATTTGGAATTAGTTGAAATTTCCAAACACCACCGCAACCTTGCATCTGCCAGGCATTTATATATAAAAAAAAACAGTTCAACGGCAGTAGTTCTCCTGACGACCCTGGATAACGGGTTCTTAATTTTTACAAGCGTGCAAACAGAAATCTGGAATAGAAAATCAACTGGGGGTTTCAGATGTCCAGTGGTTTTACAAGTTGGATAATCTAAATGAAGCAATATTAAAATGCTTCTTCAAAGTCTGGGATAAGATTCAGTCCACAGAGTACCAGCAGTGAGCTTTCCTGCAGCTGCTTTCAAATCACTTACGATCAAAGTGTGATGTTCACAAAGTCTTTTTTTCCCTGCATTCTTTTAAATCTTAAAACATCACCCTTGTGAAAAATGATGTGTTAGGATATATTTGATTGTATAAGAAGCCCATCAGTGCTCTAATTTTTCTCTTGCCCCAATCATAATTCAATTCTTCCCTGGTCACCAGAAGCCATCTATTCTTGGGAGGATATGGTTCTGCAATAGCCTGCAGATTCTTGCATCTTCCCTAAGTAGCCACAGTTTGGTAACGTTTGATAGCTAGCACTGGTGCTGACCTTATTGGACCTTCATGTACATATCCCATTAGAATCCACATGGGATATCAAGAATGGATCCCCAACAGATTTCCTTCACTGTGTCTTGGCACACCACAGTTAAATGTAGCAGCTTTACAATCTTTCTGCATCCCACACTTACCTATCTCCCCATAGACTGGGGTGCTACATTTTGATCCTGTATCACTGAGGCACAAGGACACCTTTGACTAATTAGTCAGTTAAGGGGCAATAGTTTCAAACTTCTTTTCCCTATAATTTTTCAGGGATTGTTGTGGTGATGGGGGATCAGGCACACAAAGATGAGATTACTGCTGACTACACAGGTCAAAACCAACAATTCCCCAGATAGGAATCACTTGGTTGGGACAGGGAGGGTGGTGAAGGGTAGGTGGCATGATTCTGCAGCAGCCAACAAGACCTTTCCATTTGATTAAGTGATTTGTAAACTGTATTAGCTGAACAGTTATAGAAGTTTGGAAGAACTTTATGAACACGTTTCCTTTGAAGTCTGTACACAAGTTAGCAGATGAAGATGACACCATCAACATATTTCAGAAATGGGATTGAGGTATCAGCCTGTAGATTTTCAAATATGATTTTGTCTCTCTTTCCAGGTCAGCTGGTTCAAATAGGAATAAGCTGAATATTGTAAATTGTGCCCACTCAATTTCATAAAGCATCTCATGAAAGAATAAAGGGCCAAAATTTAAGCTAACGCACATGTCACTTGGTTGTTCAAAGCCACGGAAATTTGGCTATTCTCCACTTTTTCTCCTAACACCAAAATAGGCTAAGGAAACACAAGACGAGTCATGAACAGCTTGCAAATCCATCTTTTCAAATCAGTCATTAAAAACTGGTTCCGATTTTGCTTTCACTTGTAAGCAGCGGAAGAGAATCTGGCCAGAGCTGACGGCAAACTGTCAAAAGGCTATGGGGTGCAAGCTGAACTGAAGCAAAAGATCCAGTCTGTAGCATGAAGAAAGTGAAGCATTCAACACTGTACAGCCCAGTGGGCAATTTTACAGCCGTTCCTTGGTAATGCATGGATAATCCCTACAGTCCTGTGTACTTCTCTTGTTGCATCAGCTCCCACATCACAGGGATGATATTAAAGATTCTTCATCGTCTCCAACAGAGTGTATTTGGCATTTTGGCAGGTGTCAAAAGCACGATTCTGTCTATATTAAAAGAAAATTTAAGTGAGCTCAGAGCAAGACTGCGATTCTAAGTCTTATTTATCATCCTTTTAGCATAGTGCAAGAGGTGGATTAGATTCTTGATTTTTCAACAATAATGGACATGAAACATCAGTTTAAAGCAAGTTCAAAAGTGGTCTATGTCTCTCTCACTCTGACAGCTGGCAACTCTGGGTATGCGGTGTCAATTTGCTACTAAGGGAAAGGGACATTGCCAACTGCAGCAAGCGATAATCCACTGATTGATAAGAGCCTTACTCACTTCCTACCCAAAGGGAAGCACCTTTGCCCTGGCGTCTGCTAATAGCTCTCAGTCACCATTTACCACCAGTGCATCTAATAATCGTGTGCTGCTGTCACTATGCATTAGGTACTGTTCTTTGAAATGGCAGGTGGGCATCTGAGTGGTCAGCTGGCACCACCTATAGCTTGGAAAAGCTGCAAGAGGAACTAGCAAAAGGTAACAGTGATGAGCACCATTTGAGCAATGACATGGTTCAAACGATGATAAGAGATGGTAGCCTGTCTGGGCTGCCAAGAAGCAGCAGCAGCCAGGTCCAGGCCATGTACCTGGAGATTTTCCTGCTATTGGAGGCGCTCTCCTCTTGGCTCAAGCTGAATTGGAAACAGCCGCAGCTGAGCAGAGGAAATGGGTGACAAAAGGCTTTAGCAGTGGAAACCCATGATCTGTAGACCGTGGCACTTACTCACACTTGAAGTTATATTTTGCTGCACTGCAGTTGGGCCAGTTCAGGGTGGCATGGTGGCGCAGCAGGATAGCACTGTTGCCTCACAGTGCCAGGGACTTAGGTTTGATTCCACCCTCTGGCAACCGTGTGAGGAGTTTGTATGCTCTCTCTGTGTCTGTGTGGGTTTCCTCCAGGTGCTCCAGTTTCCTCCCACAGTCCAAAGATGTGCAGGTTAGGTGAATTGGCCATGCCAAATTGCCCATAGTGGTCAGGGATGTGTAGGCTAGGTGGATTGTAACCATGCATTTCCAATAGTTAGTGTTGGGAGTAGGTAGGTGAGACTGGGTAGGATGCTCTTTGGAAGGTCAGTGTGGACTCAATGGACTGAATGGCCAGTTTCCACACTGTGGGGATTCTATGATTCTAAAAAGGACACCAAAGGCAGACAGTCATTTAATTAGGGCTCCTTCTTTGGGGAATCCCCAGGATCAGCCAGGTGTAATGTCTGTTATGGAATTGTAATCTAACATACCCACTGTAAAAGGTCTCTTGCAAAAACTGCCACATTTTTGAAATACCGAGGGTACCCAGAGCTCTTGGAACATCATATCTGAATGGAGCATTTCCTGGCTGCACTTGGACAAATTAGACTGTTGACATCAAGAGATACTGACAAGCATCATTAAAAGCAATGAAACAGCAGTGAGATAAAAAGAAAAGTCCTTGCTTACTTAGTAAGGAATGCGTGGAGGATGGGAATCACAGAGCGTGGAAAGTAGCTTTTCTGAATCACGTGTCTGAGAACTGTCAAAGGCCCAATTAGGTTACCAACGGTTTTAATCTTCTCTTCACTCTGAAAAATACAAAACAGAAAAATGTTAGAAAATATTCAGCTACCAAAGAGACAATATCATAACATTATACAGCACCAGAGGACATTTGGCCCATTGTGCTCTTTCACCATAGTTGAGCAGCAGAGATTATGGGCAGAACCTTGAAAGAAAAGAGTTGGTGCCAGCACGCCTGTAATTGTACTGATCTGTGTTGATCAGACCTCCCTGGCAAATTGCTAAAGTAATTAAGACCAAGACTCTAAACGTATGTGCGTGTACATGAAGTAGTCTCTAGACTCAAATTGTTAACTTGGTTTCTTTCTACACAGATAATGCCAGACCTGAGTTTCTCCAGTACTTTATTTTTATTTCACTGTAAACATTAGCTAGGGTTTAAGTTGAAGGCAGAAGGTGTGCACCTGGACACAGGAAACAAACACAGCCCAATCAGCCAGTTCTACATCGCCAACAGAATGACTACCCAGAAGAGAGCACTTAAGTAACAAGGAAGAAAAAAACAGTTAGAAACAGACATGAGAGGAATTAATGGGCAACTGAGTTTTGAATCAATGTTTAATAAAAACTAAATTAATCAGTCCTTGTTCTACTTGCATGCATATTCACCCGTCGTTCTTGAGCCACAGATTTTGTGTGGCCGATTAGGAACAATAACATTTAAAGTGAAACTTCATATAGCTTCTGCATATTCTATCCTGTAATAACTACTCTCAGCAACCCACAACAAATGCTATCTCGACATGGTGGGTTTCCTACTTTAGAGTATTTGCCTATTTTGAATCAACTCTTCTGTATACATTTATTCTATCCAATGTTTTTAATACTTTCTCCTTTACTGCTATTAACTATCATCTCACTGCACACCAACATGGTATCAAAAAAAATCTTAGCTGTGCCTTCTGCACACACAAGGTTTACTTTTTTGTCCTAATTGATTGTATTCTTCAATAATCTTTTTGCTATTTATGTTTATACAAGTCTTGGATTAGCCAAATGGATTCTCATCCTCTTTTTATTTCCCTTCTAATTATCCCTATAGGTTGTGCATTCAGCTTGGTTCTTTATTGTATAGCTATGATCTCAGCTGATGATGATACTGGATAAGTCAGATCACAGAGTGAAAGCTGGCTGAATTGACCATAAGTTTTTTTTTGGCCATTTGCTCACTGTGGAGGTCAGTCACTGGCAGCTTCATGTGAATATGTTCAATATACTTTTAGCAAAAGAACAAAAAGTTTATTAAAAAAAAAAGCCTGAAAACTATTCCTTTGAAGAGAACTGTAAATTATCACAAACAGCTAAATGGAGGATTCAACCCATTTCCTCAACAATATACGCTAAACCCTGGAGAAGTGTCATTCCTAACTCAATTGTTGAGGTTCTCAAGCAATTCCTTTTGGCAAATGTCTGCACATTCACCAGAATGTAGTTCTCTCCATACTGTCTCCCCCAGAGACAGAGACATAGAAACACTAGCTAACTCACCAAGCCACAAGAAAAACTCCAGGCTTTTTCCAAACCGGCAACAGCTCAAGACTTCTTTCCATCTCAGATAGTCTGAAGACTGCCAAAACTAATCTGCCCTTCTTCTGGTATGGATTTGCTGGGGGCCCATCTCCATCTGTTTCTCTGGTTGTAAGTCTTAAATAATTTAAGATTTAACCATCTCACCAGACGGTTTGCTTAGGCATTTAAAATTACATGGTTTTAGAAAAGCTATTTGATTCAATGTTAAAATGAGCCTGATCCTTGGAAAATAAAGGAAAGCTTAATGTCAGAGAAGATGTGCTCAATGCTACGGAAATCCCACTGTGATATAGGAACTGCAGACAAATTAAAAATAGGAGAGTGAAGAGATAAGTTACTGGCATAAATTACTGATAAGCAGATTCAACAAAAACATGAAGATCTTTTAAAAAGATGGAGAGCTAGAGGATAATTAAGGAGAGTAGGACCCATTAGAAACCAGAAAGCCTACATGTGGAAGTGCAAGACCTGAGAATAGTTCTAGTAATAATTTGTGTCACTTTTCCACAAAGTGAAGGGGCGAAGCAGATGTTGTAGTTAAGAAAGAAAAATGTTAAAAATTGGATGAGATGAAGAGTTAGAGAAATATGATTAAGAGTTAAACATCCTTGAAACTGATAAATTGCCAACCCTGGATGAAATATACCCCTGCCTGCTAAGAAAAATCGAGGGTAAACTAATGGAGCCTCTGACCAGATGCAACTTCTTTCTGGCCACATGCACAGTGCCAGAAGACTTTTAAGCTCATATTGCTGTTGAAGGGAAAGGGTTAGACTGAGTAATTACAGTCCTGTTGGCATAACAAAGTTGGCAGGTAAAGTAATGGAAAAAATGTAAGGGACATTAGAAATTGTCATTTAGAAAGACACAGATTAACCAAAGAAAGTCAGCAAACATTTACTTAAAGGAAAATCATATCTGACTGGTGTCTCAAATATTTAGTACATCGTTCACGCTTGGAGGTACGTAAACGTTAGTTGAGACCGCCAGAACACTCAATAAATGGCAGTTTAAAAGATGACCTATATTTATTTAACAAAAGCCACAGCAAGCTATAAAATAGCAGGTGGCCTTCATTTGTTAAAGAGCTAAAGAAATGCAATGCAACAGAAGATGCCAAGAAAGGACTGAAATCAAGATAATTCTTTTCGTTCTGGTGACTGGAGCAAAAGATCCCAATTTTGAAGATGAGCAGGGGTGTTATTCCTAGATATGGTTTGGGATTATCATATGGCAGTTTGCTGCTGTAGCTTACAACAGCAACTACACTTCAAAAGTACTTTCAGTTGCCCAGAAGTCACAAAAAGCACTATATAAATGTCGGTACAAAATTATGAGGAGCCTAGATACAGTCGATTGGAAGGATTTAAGGGGAGCCAAGGAGAAATGTTTCCACCTGGAGGGTAATGGGTATTTGGACTTCACCACCTGACAAAGGTGAAGGAAATAAAACCCTCAATGCCTTTAAAATTACTTGGATTTGCACGTGAAGTTTTGCAAGTTACACAGTTAGGGACTAAGATGCTGAAAAGTAGGATTAAGCAGTGCAGGGTGTAGCTCTTTTTCAGCTGGGTCAAATGGCTTTCCTTGGTGCTGCACATTTTTGGTTTCTCTGCAACTGTACAACTGAATTAAGGCTTCTTTCTCAAATTAATTTTTAATCATTCCAGTCTCTGGACAGCTTGGATTTGGATGCATTTCCTCATTTCTATGGAAACCCATGTGTTTTACATCCATCTCTTCCTTGAATGGCTTCCTACTGTTCAGTTTTTAAAACAAACATTCATTCATTTACTGGATCTGTTGTTTAATTTTTCATCAGCATCCACAACTTACAAAGTTACAAGATTTTGATCTTACGTTCCGAGGATGGGTCACTCGACCTGAAGCATCAACTCTGATTTCTCTCCACAGATGCTGCCAGACCTGCTGAGCTTTTCCAGCAATTCCTGTTTTGGTTTTGATCTGATCTGTTGGTTTTGGGCAACAGTTTTCTACAGCATGATATGACTGCTGTTTAACAGTATATATAGTCCCATACTTGCTTTACCAGGTTGTCAGCTCATGAAGCTACAAAGGGGGATTATATGCCCACTTAAAATAGAAATAAGTGACCTTGCAACCAGTTACTGCTTGCTTTCCAAGTTTTCATTCCAACCCTTCTGTAGAAGATCCATTTTTAACTCTGAACCTTTTATCACCCATCTATTTCTTGCAACTTTCTGTAATTTCTTTGATGGGCCATGGTATACCACTGAACTGGGCTGAACTCCTTTTTGATCCTTTGGTTCAACTAAATAAATTATGTTTTTGACTTTTCATCCAGAAGGTTGTTGTTAAACATGGGGATGCACAAAAGATTTACAAGGCTGTTGCTGGGACTGGAGGGTTTGAGCTATAGGGAGAGGCTGAATAGGCTGGGGCTATTTTCCCTGAAACATTGGAGGCTGAGGGGGTGACGATATAAAGGTTTATAAAATCATCAGGCGCCTGGATAGGGGAAACAGCCAAGGTTGTCTTCCCAGCATAGGAAAATCCAAAACTAGGGGCATAGGTTTAAGGTGAGGGGAAAGATTTATAAGAGGACCTGAGGGATAACTTTTTCACACAGAAGGGGATGTGTGTATGGAATGAGCTGCCAGAGGAAGTTACAATTACAACAATGGTACAATTACAACATTTAAAAGGCAGCTGGATGGGTACATGGATAGGAAGGGTTAGAGGGATGAGAGCCAAACTCTGGCAAATGGGATGCGGTCAGATTGGGATGTCTGGTCAGCGCAGACAAGTTAGACTCAAGGGTGTGTTTCCGTGCTGTATGACTCCGGAACATTGTCTCAGTGTTGTAATTTATTTGATCAATACTATCTCTCCTTCATTACCTTCCCTGGACACATTAGAGCCAGGAATATTTGGTGCCTAATCTTCCCCTATTTTGACAACCTTTCCAATGAGAGACTGAAGAGGCCCCATCAATCCATTCTTTTCCCTGGTGCCCTGATTAATTTTCATTCCACAATCAGCATCACAAAAACCAGATTTCCTGCTCACATTCACATCTGTTTCAGGGAGTTTGCAGAACACAAATCGGCTGACATTTCTCCCATATGACAGCAGCGGTTAGACTTTGAAAATCTATTTCATTGACTGCAAAGGTGGTTGCGAAAAGCACATTACAAATGCAAATCTACTTAAAAAAAAATTAGAGCCAGCTCTGTTATTTCTTACCATATCATGGTCCTATGTTGTGACTTATGTTTGAAACTCACCAACCTCGTTACATTAAAACACATTCAGAATTCATCTTTGACTTGCTCACATTTGTCCTCACGTCAAATCCTTCCAGTTTTTGAACCGGCCTTCACACTTGTGCTGTTTGTCTCTGCCCATGCTCTGTGAACTTCAATTCTCCTTTCTAAAATGTTATATTCTATTCCCCATCCTTCTGTTAGTTTAGTTTAAAACAATCCCCATAGAATTAGCTAACCGTCACATTGATACTAGCTCTGTAGTGCAACCCATCCACCATAACAGACTCCACTTGCCTCAGGGAGATGAAACCCTCCCCCTTATACTGTTTCTTGTTACATATTACAATTCTTGTACTCTTTGGCATTAGGAGTAATCCAGAGATTTAAGAGGACAGTGGTGCAGTGATAGAACATAGGACCTGTACTGTGCTGTACTATTCTTCAGCCCACGATGTTGTGCCAACCTATTATGCTCACAAACGTCAAGGTCCCTCTCACTGGTGAATACTGAAGCAAAGTATTCATTAAGGACACCCCCCACCCCTGCCACCTCCTTTCACTCCGCACACAAGTTCCCTCCACTATCCCTGATTGGCCCTACCCTCACTCTGGCCATCCTCTTGTTCCTCATAAGCATAGAACGCCTTGGGGTTTTCCTTGATCCTACCGCCAAGGTTTTCTCATACCTCCTTCTAGCTCTCCTAAGTCCATTCTTCAGTTCCTTCCTGGCCAGCTTGTAGACATCTAGAGCCCTGTCCGATCCTTGCTTCCTCAACCTGAAGTTTCCTTCTTCCTCTTGACTAGATGATCCACATGTCTGGTCATCCAAGGTTTCTTCACCTTACCATTCCTTTCCTGCCTCAGTGGGACAAACCTATCCAGTACTTGTAGCAACTGCTCCCTAAACAACCTCCACGTTTCTGTCGTGCATTTCCCGGAGAACACCTGTTCCCAATTTATGCTCCGCAGTTCTTGCCTAATAGCATTGTAATTCCCCTCCCTCAATTAAATACTTTCCCATACCGTCTGCTCCTATCTCTCTCCGTGACTATAGTAAACGTCAGGGAGTTGTGATGATGTTACGGGATAAGTAATCCAATGGTTAAATTGTAACTATAAATGTAATTAGCACTCAGGAAACAAGTTCAAATTCCACATGACAACTGGGAGGATTTAAATACGAATCAATAAACCTGGAGTAAAATGTTCATTGCATTGATAATAATCACAAAAAACTACTGGATTGTTGTGAACAAAAACACCTGGTTCAGCAAAGACCTACACAGGAGGATACCTGATGTCTTTACCTAGTCTGGCCTACACAATAATGGGTTGTCATGACTAGTGTCCCTCTGTGACTTAGCCTAGCAAGCCATTCAGTTCATGGTCAATTAAGAACGGACAATGGCCTTGCTAGCAATGCTCACATCCAAAAAAATAATTTTAAGATTATGATGTTTGAGGTCTTTTTGTTTAAAAAGTTGGTCTCCACTTCTTGAAAGTCTGCTGTAACTCAGCCTTTTCCTTCCTATGTCATTGGTTCCCAAATGAGCCGTAACTAAAGCCTATTCTTGTGTCCCTTCTTAAAATGTTCTGCAACATTTCTGGACATAAAGTCAGATAATTAGCCACAACGGAAACCCAAAAATCTCTCAATAATTTGAGAGGCTTAGAAAAAAATCAACAGCACGAAGGTCAATTTTTTTAAAAGTCTGTGCTCATTTGATGCTACAAACCTGCACTTAGGCAAAGAAAATCCAACACTGGGTAAAAATAGAGCAATTCTAGTTGCTTAGCAATTCTTTTATGTTTGTGCCCACATTGAAATGCAAAGCAAAGGCTGGTGATCTTTAACTGGGGCTCTGGTTCTCAGTAACTGCAGCAAAAGGGTTGGCACTTTCAGAGTTTATAGGTCATGTTTTCCGAGGCTTCTTCAAAAACAAATAGCACTCCAAGTTTCATTCAACTACACATTTTTACAGATAGACAAATTATTGAAATGTTGCCTCCTTTATTCAACCCTTTATAGTTACAAAAACTTCAATATCTGTAAAACACGAAATCCACAATCTATAGGGAAGCTTCAGTAAACTTAGACAAGCACCACAACAGCAAATGAAGAATCCTAGAATGTTTAAGCAATTTTGGTAACTTAAATCAGTTACGATTAGTGGGATGCTTGCACTGCCAGTATCTGAAGCAGAGATCTCAAATAGCCAGCAAGGAATTAAAGATCTCCCTGGGAAATGGATTTAGTTAATCCAGTAGATTTACATTAGGATAAAAACAAATACTGCAAAATGTTGTAATCATGAAGTATAACAGAAAATACTGGTGAAACTTAGCAAGTCTGGCAGCATCTGTGAATGTAGATGTTAACACGGAGTCCAATATTTCTCTCCAGAATTGACGCTGCCAGATCTGTTGAGTTTCTCCAGCACTTGGTTTTATTTTCAGGTTTGTTCTAGGGCTACTGGAGACCTCTGTTTTATATCACATTTTAAATCAATTATGACATGGCAGTTCTCTTTGTCCTAAAGATGCCTAAGCCGTTGCTTTTTAGGTGCAGAAGATGGAAAATTCAGGGCCACATTTAAATCCAGATTCCATTAGTGTTCAAATAATTTACATCACTGATATTCCTCACAAATCAAAATAGCATGCCTGGGTTGAAGAATCAACCACAAGTTACACATTTCACTCCACACATCAGAACAGCTCTTACCTTCAGAAGTCCCATATACACCAACAGAGAAGTAATGAACACATCTAATTGAAATCCCGTAGTCTTGAACGCTTTCTGCAACAGTTCATCTATTTAAAGGTGGGGGGAGAAACAAGGGTGGAAAAGAGTAAAAAAATACACTTATATGGGAGGATAAACAATAACAGGAGTGATACTTATCTATAGAGAATCAGAGAATGTAGAGTACAGGCGACCTTTCAACCCACTGTGCCTGTATCACTTCTTCGATAGAGGCACATGTTTAGTTTCAATCACACTGTTCTTTCGTCATAACACTCCTAAAAGTCTTCCTTTTTGAAGTATTTATCCAATTCTCTTTCTAAAGTTATACTTTGAATCTTCTTCCACTGCTCTTTCATATAGTATTCTGTTCTATAAACAGCCCAAAGTGGAATTGCAGTGTGATTTATATCAAGAAATTGATATACAGGTAACTCAAATCTGGCACATCCAGGACCAAGGCAGTGCTGACATTGCTGGATTTCTGGTCATGTGGTTTAAGCCATGGGCAATTCAGGTGGAACCAGGTGAAGTAAGGTCAAGTGCTGCTCAAAGTGTAGAACTGACCAGTGCACAAAGTCTGAAGCCACACTGTGTCAACACAGTGCCTCGCCTAATTATCCAGACAAGTCTTTTTACAAGTTTAATCAATTAGAATCGATGCTTAGAATATTATACAAGTGTCTGGTTTTCAGACAGCATGGATTTGAGGTATCAAATCCATGGAGAAAATAATCAGGTTAAAAATGTACAAATAGATCACAGCCATGTAGTAGCAATAGTAGACCAACAAACTGAGGTGATAATGGGAAAGTGGTGGACTGGGTATTAAAGGAAGGACAACACAATTAAAAATTACAACCAACCCTGCAGAAGAGGGACTGAAAGACCAAAAAATCTTATCCTGCTTAGTCTGTTCTTCATACTCACTGTTTGAGTTAGACAGATGAAGCAACAGACTTCACTAATGTTCAGCTGATAATATTGCACTAACACGGCTTGCATGTCTCCTCACTGGAAATGGATGCCAAACAGATATGGCGACATTGGTTTATTTGTGCACATAGCGGATGCTAATCACAATTTAATATGTCCATGTTTGTGGCATTGGCGCAGTTTCTTATATGCCTGAATGCTAACACAAACTCTACAGTGGAACTGTACATACCAGAGCGAATACGGTATCTACATTTCAGGCTGACCTCAGCTAAACTGTAGAGAGAGTAATAATTCCAAACTTTCCTGACTTGCATCAATCGGATTACTTTTCTTGATGCTGCTCCCCTATTCACAGTAAACATCACAAAAACCATATACCAAGTCCGTTTGAGCCCTAGATTTAATATACAATACAAAGAATGGACTCCACCTCCAGCTGAACTGGAACAAAAAGTTTGTTTTTGTGGGGGGGGGGGGGGGTGGCGCGTGGTGGAGGTGGGGGAGGTCGAACAATGATCTATGTTATTCTAAAAACAATTCAGATTAAACAAAAAGCTACCCACCTGCAGTCTCAAATACTGCTGCTTTGGTTTCCTGGTCTTCCTTATAGACTGCAGCCACCTTCAGAAATGTTTGGACAACCTTTTCCGCGTTTGACAGATCAGTCTGAGGAAAATTAATTTACATTAATTTAAATTAAAAAATTCAGTCAACCCTATTCACTTGGAACATGCTCACCATTCTCTCCTAAAGGAGAAACTTAAACTTGGATAAAGTTTAACAAATATTTGTCCAGATGTGCTGATCATTCCTTATCAATGGGACTAAAGAATTAGAACCAACAGGTTAATCCATTACACTTAACAGATGTCACATCTTTTCCCCTTCTACATTTTGGGAATGCCAAGATCAATTGCTGGACCTTTAACACCCACCCAGATGCAATTACCTGGCTCAGGACAGACAAGAGTTTGAAGCAGGCATAAAACTGAGAGGTGTTGCATTTATTCAATGAGCTCAAGAACATTACCTCAATTTTTCCGACAACTGAAGCTGATAAGAAGTTAAATCCTAGATGCGTGTTTGAAAACTAATACAAGCTTCAGCTGGCCACAACATTACAAACTCATTACTGCAGGGATGCAGAGTTCATCTCGAAGAATTAACACCTCATCACGCAGTTGGCACAGACAGTCACAATGACTAGAATATCCTTTGGTCTATGCTGTGTTAATTGATCTTAATCAGCATGGCTGTAAGAATTTCATCCTTGGCAGCCCAAGCTAAGGAAGAGGGAAGTTAAGCAGTATTCAACTTCTATCCAGTATTAACTCAGGGAAAAGTGACATTACATGAGAAAAAAGTGAGGCCTGTGTCAAGTCATGCGCTCCTTTGACAACCAAGTCTGGCAGCTCACCAACTAGCTTCATACATGAAGGATGTCCCTTTCAGTGAGGCATCATTACGACTATACCTGTAGAAGGAGCATCCATTTGGCCTGAGTGGGGGCACAGTAATCAGTGCCACAGAAAATTGAATAGAAAATGCATGCTATTATATCAGTACCTGCTGCAGTAACAGAAGTGACCGCTTAGGTCCCATTTTAAGGAGTTTGTCTGGAGATGGAAAAGACAAGAAATTGGCAGCTTCTGATGTCAGGGTAATTGGGATGGTTTTCTAGAAAAATAAAAGGCAGTTAGTGAGAAGTATGGAATAGTACCAGAGGACAGAGTATATTTATCAGACGATGGGCTCCTTTCCCAGCAATGGCAAGAAAAAGTTAAAACAGATCACTATAGGTTAAAAAGAGATCCCCCTATCTGAACGTCCACAAACTGCAACATATCCATAACTCTCATGCCCGTATCCTATCCAGCACTTCCATTCACTTAGCACATTTGCGCTTGATGACCTACAAGGGCTTCTCATCCCACATCCTTCAAATTTAAAAGTTTGCAATCTCCAGTTTATATTTCTTCATGCATCCACACTCACTCCCACAACCCACCACAGTCCTACAATTCTGCACTACTCCAACTGTGATCTTTATTTCAGTATTGAATCTAGTGCCTTCAGTCACAGCTCCAATACTTTAGAATTCCTCCCTAAACATTTCTGCCTCCTTTGCCATCTTTATTACGCTCTTTACAATCTCTGACTAAAATAAACACAAAGAACTGCAGATGGTGGAAATCAAACAAGAATGCTGGAGAACCACAGCAGCATCTGTAGATAGGTAGAAAACTGTTAATTGTCTTGAGTCCAGGGATTCTGTCAGAACTGATCAAAAGTTCGTCAGTTCTGGCGAAGGGTCACTGGACTTGAAACATTAGCATTTCTCTCTACAGATGCTTCTGGACCCGTTTCTTCAGCGCTGTTTTTGCCTTTAACCAAACTTTTAGTTAGTTAATCTTAATTTTTTTGGCTGCTGCCTTATCGTGCCTTAACTGACTCAATATTCAAGATTATAGTATTGCGCCCTTCTGATAAGCGAGTGAAGATGATTAGAACATCTTTCTTACATCTGACAACACGAGCATCAAGCATTTCCAGAACAGTACAGAAGAAGTCGAAGACTGGATCTTTTCTACTCCAATAATGCACCTCAGATTGAGTGTCAAAAGAACAATGGCTCATGTTACAGCATTCACATTCATCATACCAGCCATCCTGTGGTGTCTCAGAGAAAGACTGCCAATTAATGTTTAAGTAGGATGCAGCACACATGCATAGGCATAGGCATAGGCATTAAAATTCCCTTGAAACAAACAGAGCTGAAATGAAGACTCATAAGGGACTTTGTCCATTGGTGCTGCATGTACGTTTTGATCTGAATGTCTGCTCCTTGCCTCAAGGTGGCATGACGGATTGTAGATGTCCCAAGGCAGCACTCAAAATCCCTAAGCATCAGGGGAAAAAAAAAGGGGGTTTTCTACAAAGTAATGGAATTAAATGCCAACTGGCAGGTGTAGTGGGTCAGTAGGTTGCTGTACAAACTATTATGCCATGCAATAAGAATTATTATTCACACCACTATTTCACCTTTACACCTAGCCAACATTTTGTTATTCCATCATAGAATCTGTGAATTGTTCGCTGGATCAGCATTTATTGTCCATCCCTAGCTGCCCTCAGGAAGATGCTGGTGAGCTCCCTTCATGAACTGCTGCAATCCATTTGCTCTAAGTAGATGCACAATACCATTAGGGTGAGTGCACCAGTGCTTTGATCCAGAGATGATGAAGGAACAGCGATATATTGCCAAGTCAAGATGGTGAATGGCTTGGAGGGCAACTTATAGGTGGTGGCATTTTCCTGCATCTGCGGCCCTCATCTTCTAGATGGTAGTGGTTGAGTTTGGAAGGTGTAGTCTTAAAAGCCTTGGTGAATTCCTGTAGCGCATCTTGTACACAATACACAATGCTGCTATTGATCATTGATGGTAGATGGAGTGAATGTTTGTAGACGTGGTGCCAATCAAGTAGGTTGTTTTGTCCCGACTGGTGTCAAGCTTCAAGTGCTGTTGGAGCTGCACACATCCAGGTAAATAGACAGTGTTCCATCACACTCCTGACCTGTGCCTTGTAGATAGTGGTCAGATTTTGGGCAGTTGGTGAATTACTTGCTGCAAGATTCCTAGCCCCTAACCTGTTCTTGTACTCACAGTACTTATATGGTTAATAAAAACCAAAAGAACTGCGGATGCTGTAAATCAGGAACAAAAACAAAAAGTTGCTGGAAAAGCTCAGCAGGTCTGGCAGCATCTGTGGAGGAGAAAACAGAGTTCACGTTTCAGGTTCGGTGACCCTTCCTCAGAACTGATGGTGGCTGGGAAACGTCAGTTTATATGCAGAAAATAGGGAGGTGGGTGGGGTAGGGAGTAAACGATAGGATAGAGCCCAAAGAGAGAGAAAGACAATTGGATAGACAAAGGAGTTGCTAACGATCAGGCTGGGAGGGTGAATAGTTGTTAATGGGGACTGTTAGTGACTAACAACAGTGGGTGTGTAGTGGCAGGCTATGTGGTGACAAGGCCTGGTGTGTGGGGTGGGGGGCTGGGACATGGGAGAGTTTAGGCCCTAAAATTATTGAACTCAATATTGAGTCCAGAGGGCTGTAGGGTCCCCAAGCGGAAAATGAGGTGTTGTTCCTCCAGCTTGTGCTGGGCTCCGCTGGAACACTGTAGCAAGCCGGAGACAGATGTTGGCCAGGGAGCAAGGGGGTGCATTGAAGTGGCAGGGAACACGTAGTTCAGGGTCTTTTTTGCGAGCAGAACGTAGATGTTCTGCGAAGCGGTCGCCAAGTCTACGCTTTGTTTCCCCAATGTAGAGGAGACCACATTGTGAGCAGCGAATGCAGTAGACTAGATTCTTGGAAGTGCAGGTGAAGTGTTGCTTCACCTGGAAGGTATGTTTGGGCCCTTGGATACTGGGGAGGGAGGAGGTAAATGCGCAGGTGTTGCACGTTCGCCGGTTACAGGGGAAGGTGCCGTAGGGCTGTGGGGAGGTGTTGGAGGTGAAGGAAGTATGGACCAGGGAGGGGAGGGGAATGTGTGTCTGGTGGTGGCTTTTGCCGGAGGTGGCGTCTGATGATCTTCTGGATGTGGATGCTGGTGGGATGGTCAGTGAGGATAAGGGGAACCCTATCACTGTTGCGGGAGGGAAGAGAAGGAGTGAGGGCAGAAGTGCAGGAGGTGGGTCGGACCCGATTGAGGGCCCTGTCGACAACGTAGCTGGGGAATCCTCGGTTGAGGAAGAATGTGGACATTTCGGAGGCTCCCTTGTCGAAGTTGGCTTCATCTGAACATGTGCGACGGAGACAGAGAAACTGAGAGAATGGGATGGAGTCTTTACAGGAAGTGGGGTGTAAGGATGTATAGTCCAGGTAGCTGTGGGAGTTGGTGGGTTTGTAATGGATATTAGTGGCCAGTCTATCCCCAGAAATGGAAACAGAAATGTCGAGGAAGGGAAGGGAGGAGTCAGAGATAGACCAGGTGAAAGTGAGGGCAGGGTAACCGGCGAACGTGCAACACCTGCGCATTTACCTCCTCCCTCCCCAGTATCCAAGGGCCCAAACATACCTTCCAGGTGAAGCAACACTTCACCTGCACTTCCAAGAATCTAGTCTACTGCATTCGCTGCTCACAATGTGGTCTCCTCTACATTGGGGAAACAAAGCGTAGACTTGGCGACCGCTTCGCAGAACATCTACGTTCTGCTCGCAAAAAAGACCCTGAACTACGTGTTCCCTGCCACTTCAATGCACCCCCTTGCTCCCTGGCCAACATCTGTCTCCGGCTTGCTACAGTGTTCCAGCGGAGCCCAGCACAAGCTGGAGGAACAACACCTCATTTTCCGCTTGGGGACCCTACAGCCCTCTGGACTCAATATTGAGTTCAATAATTTTAGGGCCTAAACTCTCCCATGTCCCAGCCCCCCACCCCACACACCAGGCCTTGTCACCACATAGCCTGCCACTACACACCCACTGTTGTTAGTCACTAACAGTCCCCATTAACAACTACTCACCCTCCCAGCCTGATCGTTAGCAACTCTTTTGTCTATCCAACTGTCTTTCTCTCTCTTTGGGCTCTATCCTATCGTTTACTCCCTACCCCACCCACCTCCCTATTTTCTGCATATAAACTGACGTTTTCCCAGCCACCATCAGTTCTGAGGAAGGGTCACTGGACCCGTAACGTTAATTCTACTTGTATGGTTAGTTTAGTTCAGTTTATGTTCAGTGGCAACCCCAGGATCTCGGTGAAGTTTCAGTGCTAGGAATGCCACTGAACATCCAGGGATGGTGGTTAGACTCTCTCTTGTTCGAAATGTTCATTGCCTGGCACTTTGTGTGGTACAAATGTTACTTACCACTTGTCAACCAAGGCCTGGATATTTTCCAGGTCTTGCTGCTTTCAGGCATGGACTATTATCTGAGAAAAGCTCAAGTATCTTGAGGGGATAGCATGAAATAGTTAGATGTCTGGAAAGGAAGAAAACACAAGACTAGCTAAAAATTGTAGCAATGGGCTACATAAAGGTCCAACTTCCTTCACTCTTTGTTATTTACTAGCAAGTAGCCTATAATGGAGGCAATAAGTACTGCAGATGCTGGAAGCTAAAGTCAATAAATATGGTACTGGAAAAGCACAGCCGGTCAGACAGCATGCGAAGAGCAGGGAAGCCAAAGTTTCGGCCGAAACGTGACAAAGGGTTATGGCCTGAAATGGTGACTTGATGCAAGTAGCCTACAATGTTTGGAACAACTGTGAAAAATTGAAACTGTAAAAAAGGTATTACAAAAGTAAACATACAGAAGTTTCTGGAAAAAGCATTTCTCCCCAAATTCTACTAAACCAAATGCCAATAATTGAATACAAATTCACCAATAAACCTTTTGTTCAGTTCATTCAAACCTCTTACATCTTAGTTTTTCTTGTGTCACTGTAATTTATCACTAATTAATTGCTTCCATAATTTATTGACATCATTTCTAATCTTATGAAGCTCAATGATATGATGGACAACGGGACAATGCATCCAAACCCTGATGTCCTTGAGACTTACCACATGTGTGTCAACTATCAATTGATCAACTGGTGTTGCCTTCTCTTGCTCCTGTTCTTCTCCACCTCCATCATCTTCTGCTTCTTCATCTTCATCTTCCTCTTCATCCTCCAGGTCGTCGTCATCATCATCCTCCTCCTCCTCCTCGTCCACCTCTTCATCCTCATCCCCATCACTTTCATCATCACTTAACAGTAAAACAAAATTAACATTTCTCAAAACAAAAACCTTCTGCTTGAAAAACTGAAAGGAATAAAATTTTTTTAAAAATCAAAGCTTGTTTACAGGTATGGATGAATAGTGGTTGTGTTACTGGACTTGTAATTCAGAGACCATAATTAATAACCTGGAGGGATGATGGGATTAGAATTAAGTAGCTGTTTTTGACTGGCATGGACACAATGGGTTGAAAGGCCTTTTTCTGTGCTGTAGCTCTGTATCTGCAACAATGAATCCCACCATGGCAGATGGGAAATTTAAATTAACTGAGTAAATTCGAAACAAAAAGAAAATCTGTAATGGTGACCATATAAGTATCAGGATATAGTAACTCAAATCTGGTTAACCAATAGCCTTTGGAGAAGAAATCTGCCATCCTCACCCAATCTGGTTTACATGTGATTTCAGATCCATTATAATGTTATGGGACTCTTAAATAGTCCAGCAAGCTATGCATGGTATTTAAGATGGCTCCTACCGCCTTGAAGATAATGAGCAATAGGCATGAAATGATAATTTTGCTGGCAATGCTCTTACCTCATGAACAAATTTTTGTTTAAAAGAAAATAGTGACTTGGGTCATTCCTCCAGTATTTTAACACACCAGTCACCAAACCTATTCTGCTCCACCACCTAATGTTTATGATTTTCCCACCCCACTGAGTAGGAACAAAAAACATGAAATTAGAAGAAGCATTCCATACAAAACTGGGACTTAACTGAGGGCTGACAATCAGTGGAATGAGAACAAGAGTTAGGTTAGGATATCAGTTGTTGTTTTACCTGGAGCACTCAATGTACATGTGAGGTGCTTGAAATGGGATAAAGTTTAATCCTTTAATACCAATAATCTTCACGATGTATAAAAAACCTCCAGGAATTTGGGAGCTAAGCACTGAATTCGTCACATTAAGTCAGCAATCCCACCGGCCAAAGCACCCAGCTATATTACAAAAAAGGGACAAACCAGACAAAAATGGTCATGGTAGCTCATTTTGAGCATTTCCAGACTGAGGCTTAGAAGAGTACGAGGCTGAGATGTAATACCCTGCAGTCAGGCCACGTCATAGTATTCGCAGTCAAGATTTATGTATTGTCACTTGTGAAGTAGAACTTGCTATACCACCAGTAAAATCCTGTAATTCAGCCTTTGAGTTGAGGTGGAAAATTAGATACAAAGATGCTTTAGCAGGCTGCAAGAACTTGATGAGACAGAGCCAAATGCTCATTTAAGATTTATACTCAGTGGACAGGCTGATTGGCTGCTCTAACCTTTAGTTCAGTAACCTGCAGTACTTTCCGCTAAGAACAATTTGGGGCCAAATTGATAATTACATCTTATTTACAGTCACAATATACTGTTGACAGCATACCATGCACAACCTGATGTAGAAAGTTATGAATTTAACATTTAATTAATACAGCAAACTGCAGTCAATCGCAATTCATCTCATGTGACTGATATAATTTATTAATAAACTCAAACTAATTAAAACATGGACAATGGTTGGACAAGCACTGCATCACACCTTTTAAATGTGGGAAACCTATGGACCCAAAAGTGGTCCAAGGTAAACAACTGTAGTAAGTTTCTAAAACTACAGCTCCTTTACTCAGGGTTATTGAATTGGAGGGTGAGTTGAAGATATTGCAATGCATCAGCAAAGGGAAAGAGATACCTTAACACTAGGCTATCACAACATTTAGGACAAAGCAATCCAATTTCTTCTTCAGCAAGGGGCAGAAGAGTGTGACCGTAGGCGAGGCAGGTAAGGGGTTGGAGAATACTATCTTGCAGCAGCCTCAGCTCTTGCAGTTATTTAACAGAATAGAATAGGATGCCTGCAGTGCAAAGAGAGGCCACTCAGCCCATTGAGTCTGCACCAACCTTCCAAACAGCATTCCACCGTATCACTGTAACACTGTATTTACCATAGAAAGGAAAAGGGAGGGTGGGAGGGAAAGGGGAGCAAATTGCTGGAACTGAAACCCAGCAAACAACTGGAGGTTAGAAAGATGCATTGTTTTTATGTATGCCACAAGTAGAGAATTCCTTGATGGAACTTACTTCGAAGAAATGCAAAAGAAAGATCGCCAAAAAAACCAAGTTGTGCGTTGCTCATGAATCAACAAGATTTGGTCCCGAACTTACCTGAGAGAAGCCAATGCATCATGCTTGTTGAAGCTGTCCATAACTTCCTTCAATTGGTCACAGCCTTCCTCACCAAGACAGTTACCTAGGTGAAAGACACTCTCTTTCAATGTGTTTAAATTTAATTACCTGCACAAGCTTTGATAGTTAGTTTCAGGTGGGCACTTAGTCCCGAGTAATGATGTGCCATTATTCCCTTGTCAGATTACCCCTGCCTGCTCCTGAACGTAGTCTTAAAACAGCCTCTCATCTTTAAGTTCTAACAGTCAGCAATCTGAAATAACTGCTTTGCTCTCTACAGATTTTACCTAACATACTGCATGTTTTTAGCATTGTTTTTATTTCAGATTCATTGTGTCTGAAGCATCTTGCCCCTCTCAACGTTGTTTACTAACCTGAGGAGCCTAGATTTCTCTAGTTTCCATCATTGCTAAAATATGCTGGTTTATGATGCAGAGTAATGCAAACAGTGCGGGTTCAATTTCTGCACTGGTTGAGGTTATCATGAGGGACTCTATTCCTCAACTTCTCCCCTAACTTGAGACATGGTGACACCAGTTTAAACCACCACCAGTCGTCTCTCTCTAGTGAGAAAGCAGCCTCTGGTCCAGTAGGACTATGGTGACTTTACCCTTCAGTCTATGGAAGACCTCTCTGGAGTGAGGTAACTGTTTGAAATGCGCGTGGGTCATCTCTCAGGGTCAAGTGTGAGGCGAGAGGAGGAGAGAGGCCTCAATGCACTCAGAACATGTAGAGGGATTGAAACTGCACTACTTGTGTGAATCTGCATCACATTCTAGCAATTATGCCAACTTCTGAGCTAACCAAATCCACAATTATTTCATCACCTTCACACAAGTGAAGACAATATTCTAACTGCAGGGATAACAATCAAGCCTGATACAATTTTCAACTGACATACATACACACCAGAGATAGTAGGAACTGCAGATGCTGGAGAATCCGAGACAGCAAGGTGCAGGGCTGGATGAACACAGCAGGCCAAGCAGCATCATAGGAGCAGAGAGGCTGACGTTTCGGGCCTAGACCCTTCATCAGAAAAGGGGGAGGGGAAGGGGGTTTTGAAATAAATAGGGAGAG